TGCAGGAAGCCCTGGCAGCTGAAAACAAAGCTCGGAGCCAGTTTTTGCTGGCAGAGTGCTCGGGCCACCACAGGTGCTCCCGAAAGGAGTGACGTCATGCTGGCCACACCCACCCTGGCCCCACCTACCCTGCCCTCCCGAGCTCAAACACAACCCTGATGCAGCCCTCAATGAAATCGCGTTTGACACCCCCAAATTAATTAGTTAGGATAGACAAAAGCCCCACCACAATATATGGTTGCTTCTGGATTCTCAAAAGGGCATTCTCCATATATTTGACCATTTCCCCAAGACTATTTTTGAGTGATTGCAATATACAGTAGTACATTATCTAGAAATCTACAGGTAGTCCTTGACTTACAACAGTTCGTTTAGTGACAGTTCAAAGTTACAACGGCATTGAAAAAGGGACTTATGACCATTTTTCACACTTATAGGGATTCCAGCATCCCTATATTTATGTGATCAAAATTCAGACCCTTGGCAACTGACTCATGTTTATGATGGTTGCAGTATCTCGGAGTCACATGATCTCCTTTTGCAACCTTCTGACAAGCAAAGCCAATGGGGAAGCCAGATGCCCTCAACAACCATGTTATTAATTTAACAACTGAAGGGATTCACTTAAGGAATGTGGGAAGAAAAGTTGTAAAATGGGGCAAACCTCCCTTAACAATTTTCTTACTTAGCAACATAAATTTGGGGCTCAATTGTGGTTGTAAGCTGAGGACTGCCTGTATTTTCTTTAGCTCTAGCTCTACATCTGTATCAGAACTTACGGTTCAGCTTCAATACTCTGGTCGGGAGCAACATAGTTAGCTGGGATATAGCCTTGCAGTTTTTGTCCGGGTCTGGCAAGACCATTCTCCACAAGTAGGTTTGCAAGCCACCAGCCCTCCTGGGAGGTATCCAGCACTTCAAGCTTATCTCCAGGTTGAAAACTCAGATCATCCTCAGTCCGGGCTTGGTAAGGAAACAAGGCAACAAATCTGCAGCTCTGGTCTACCGTTCTGATTGGAGGTGATATCGATGGTCCTACCGGAGGGCCATTTGTATCATCGCTTGTCACCGTCTTACCTCCTGACCTGCAGTCACAAACTTTGAAAAGCCAGAGCACATAGGCATCCAGACTTGTACAGTTCTTCTGGCAGCAGTTCCCCATGCTGTGGCTCCTCTTACTTGCTAGTTTCAATTTCTTCAGCTTTTCCCCCCCCTTCTCTCCTGTCGTCCCCCGTCCCCCCGTGTTACGCATTCACAAATCCTTGAAAGCTATTTCTTTCATTATCCGTCATTTCCAAACTCATCCTTCAAGCCCTTTGAACAAGATAAAAGCCAAGGGACTTTGCTGGGATTGGGGAAGATCTTTTACTTGGATTTTCTTTCCTCTCAATTTCTAAAAATGAAAAATCTTCCCCAAGAGTTTCTCCCCTCGTCTTGCGGCTACTTGCTCAGGACTGAAACCTGAGCAATGAAAAGCAAATCTTCCTGTCAGGGGAATTTTTCACTTCCTCTTCTGATCATTCAGAAAGACCTGAGCCATTCTCCTGGGAGCCAAAAAAAAAAAAAAAAANATCTTGTTTTTTAATCAACTGTATTAAATTTCAGAGAATGACAAATACAAAATAACAACAAAGGGGTGTTAGGAAGGAAGGGAGAAATCAAGAGGAAAGATGTTAAAAAGTGACAAAAATAGAATAAGAGGATATTTTATTATATAATTGTAGAGCTGTTTTGATTGTTATATTTGTATATTTTATATTATATTTTTGTGCTTTTGTTTTACTGTAGCAATAACAATAGCACTTAGACTTATATACCGCTTCATAGTGCTTTACAGCCTTCTCTAAGCGGTTTACAGAGTCAGCATATTGCCCCCAACAATCTGGGTCCTCATTTTACCCACTTCGGAAGAATGGAAGGCTCAGTCAACATTGAGCCTAGTGAGATTCGAATGCCAAACTGCTGGCAGCTGGCAGGCAGCTGAAGTAGCCTGCAGTGCTGCATTCTAACCACTGTGCTATCACAGTTCTGTAGAATAATTGATTATATTATTATATACATATTTATATATTTACTGAAAAAATATTATATGATCTTGATGAACCAGGTTGTATAAAATAATCTTCACTGAAAAACAATTCATTCAGACACAATTTAAAAGAATTTAAAATACTTTAGAAAAATATGTCCTTTGTGTTACTTTAAATTTGTAAATAAGTAATTCTTACTTAAGAATATCCTGCTTTGTGCTTCAACTGGTTAAGTACTTTAGAAGGCAATTCTCCTTTTGACTGTACAATAAAACTTTAGTTTTATAATAAGCTGAATTAAAACTGTAAAATCATCATATTCTTTGAAAACTCTTATTAGTTATAATAATATTTCAAGGTTCCAGTATGTCATTTTGAAAATTGCATATAATAAATTACTTAAGTTAGTAAAATCTTCAATCTCTGAATTGGCTAATATAGACAAAGGTCTCCAAATCCCCAATAACCTGTCACTCATTCAATCCTTGGAAAAAATGGCATTCTTTCACCCTTTCTGTATTTTGGTACATGTTTCTACCTACAATAAAAACAATAGAAGTTATTACTAGGTTTCTAAGGCAGCACTGTGGAAATTGCTTTTGTCTTGATGAAATGGTTGGATACACCTGGATCCCCAGTTTACCTACATGAGATAATATGCGGAGCTAATATATAAATGCTAAACAAAGGTGAAACAATCCCTGAAAGATCATCTCTTTTTTTCAACTTTTCAAGCCTGGCCAAGGTTTGTTTTCCAGTTGCAAAATAATAAAAGATAATGGCATCAATAGCAGGATGCAAATACAGATGGTAATAGAGCTTTCTCCAGATTGGTCCTTGTCAATATACTGAATAAAGTTCACATATCCTCAGCTACTGAGGTCATCGTCCTCAGCTACTGATATACTCAGCACATGGCTAATAAAGCATTTCTCTCTGTGAAATAAAGATCAGGGATACTTAGAAGGAAGTGTTCCTTTTTTGGAGAAGCTTTTTTTGTACATGCACAGATCCCTTTCACGTCGATTAAATGAATGAGAGTCTGAGACCCAAGAATGAGAGAGGAAGTGTCAGGAGCAAAGAACTCGTTCCACACAGAAAGACTTTGAAATTACTGATTTATTGCTCAAGCCTATGCACTGATTAAACAAATGGTTTACACCTGTGCAAAACTTAGGTTCAACAGCATTCTAGACATGTTGGAACTTAGTTCTCTTGTGACAGTGTAGAGAGTCTAAGCTGATTCCCCTTTGGACTCCTTCAACTGGCCCTGCCAATCTCTCTCCTACAGGGAAAGACAGAAGATATACTGTAGTGGTAGATCCTACATAGAGTGCTCATGGATGGCAAAGTTTAATCAATTTCTTAGGCACAGCTTCTCTCTTTCCTACATTTCATATCACACCGAGTGATTCCTCAGCCAAGTAGCTGATTCTACATAGCTCTTGTTAGGAACATGTATAAATAATCCACAACTTGCAGTCAGGCATTTAGTAACCATTCAAAGTTACAACAGCACTGAAAAAGGTGGCTTATGACTGTTTTTCACACCTTCAATGATTATACCTTCCCCATGGTCACGTGATTAAAATTCAGGTGCTTGGCAACTGGCATGTATTTATGACAGTTGCAGTATCCTGGATCATGTGGCCATCACTTGTAACCTTGCCAGCTAGCTTCCAACAAGCAAAGTCAATGGTGGAAACCAGATTGGCTTAACAATTGCATAATTTACTTTACAACTGCAGTGATTTGCTTAACTATGGCAAAAAAGGTCATAAAATGGGGTGCAACTCACTTAACAATCTTGCTTAGCAAGAGAAATGTTGGTCTCAATTGTGAGTGTAAGTTGAGAACTATCTGCAGTAATGTGGGTACTGGTCTATAATTAGAATACTAGAATATTCTTTATTGGCCAAGTATGATTGGACACACAAGGAATTTGTCTTCAGTGCATAAGCTTTCAGTGTACACACAAACAACAAAGTGGTAAGGCATAGATGATAAATCATAAGGAACAATAATAAATCATAAGATACAAACAACAAGTTATAAATCATGATACCAATAGGAGAAGATAGTAGGAAAGATGAGAAGATGAAAAAGATGAGAAGGATAATAGCAATACAAGCCTGAGTAAATATCTTTACGCATAAAACACTGCTGTGGAAGTTAGTTGTTTAGCACAGTTGTTTAGCATGAGTTCTAGTGTCACCTTAGGTATGAAAATTGGCTGGTGACTTTGGGCCAGTCATTCTCTCTCAGCCCAACCCACCTCACAGGTTATTGTGGAGAAAACACAATATTTATATTACTTATAAAGTAATAAAGATGGGATAAAAATCTAATAAATAAATCTGTTTGGGCTCCTGGCAGAAATTGCCTTGCTTAAGAGAGAAACAACACTGCACGTATATTATTTCATAATATTGTACAGATATTATAAGCTAAGAAAAGATACAGCAGCTGTCCTTAAACAACATGATTTATTTTGTAGCTTAATCATCAACATGTCAAACAGTAGATTTTGTTGTTTTAATTGCTGAGAACTATTAAATCTCTGCGGCATTAGAAAACATTTCTTTGGGTATGAAACTCATCCATAAATCCATCCTATCCCACATAAACCCATGTGAATTGCATGTCTTCATTAACAGCTCTGAGCAGCACTCATGAAATTGTGTGATTTCCCCAGGTTTGCCCCTCAAGTTTAGATAAAGACAATTAGAAAGGAACTGTGTAAATAGGACATTATGAGCTGTCTCGGCTATACAAGGGAATGAAAATCCTGATGTTAGTAAAATTATAACACAATTAGTTCTGTAGCATTTTGTGGAAAATAAGCATTTTATTGTTTAGCTGCCCTGATGTGTGAAATGATTAAGATAGATAATAATGTAGCCTTCCCCAGCTAGGCACTTGAGGGGCATGTTGCATTACAACTCCTATAAAAACAAATTTCTTTTTTTTTTTTTTACATTCACATTGTGCTCCTCACAATGCTCCTCACCAAGAGATGACTGAGCTTCAGATATACCTTCATGACATATTTATTATGCTGTAATTTCCTTGTCATGGATCAATTGCAATCGGTGATAAGTTTTAATGGGTGATTTCTGAGGTACATATGTCCTTGCATCAAACTCAAATCCTGATGGGTGCATGGAGACCTCCAGTCCTTTATCTAATAAAAATAACAAAGAGGTTTGCCATTGCCTTTGCTCAGGATTTTTTTTTAACCTTTCCAGTCTCACCTAAACTAAGACCCAGGAAATTATCTGGCCCAATCCTGCTTAACCTCTGAACTGAAATGAGATTAGCCTGATAAGCCCATATCTGAGAGCTGGCAGCATGCAGAAATGGTCATTATGTAAAGAGTATTACTGTGCTAAGAATAAGAAGTCATTATAAGCAGTTTTTTTCCTAATGCATTCATCCGCAGATGCTTCCATTGGCAGCAAGCATTCCTGGAACAGCCAAGCAACACACACCTGGTATGTTTCTGATAACAGCAAGAATACCTAGCAGACTACTGATATCAACAAAATCTTGTTTATGTGAGGCACAGAACAGGTGTGTTGAATTAACTTCAGCCAAGCAGTTAAGCAAGAAGACATTGTTTCCTTTGTTTTATCGAACAATAATAATTAAAACACATTTATTTCTCAATAATTTATTTTTAAAATGTACTATATTTGAACATACTTCCAAACAAATATTTTCCCAGGGAATCTTACAAAATCCTTTGCAACCAACATGTGGAGAACAAAAGAAGAACTGGAGAAGAAGAGGAGGAAGAAAAAGAGCAAGAAACATAGCGTGTACAAAAAGCAGTAAGTAATCTTTTGAACAACATTCAAAAATATGCCAAATATGCCAACCACACTATTCATTAAAAATACAATTGTAGCATAGACAAAAAGTTGGCATGAAAAACACTCAGAGATAGAATGTCTTTCCCTCAGAGAATCAATTCTCAAAGTCCATTCCAAGCAATTTCTCTAAGACAGAAATGTGTATCTCAATCTTGGCTGGCAACGTTAAGGTGTATGGACTTCAACTCCCAGAATTCTGAGATTCGACGTCTACACACCATATAGTTGCCAAGGTTCAGGAATGCTGCTCTAGAAAAGAATTCCAGAAACAGGAGAGCAACTCTGAGAAAGCTCATGCCTGGATTTCCATGAATTATAACTTATGTAACAGAAAGACATAATAATCACACGGTGCTGAAAATCGAGGTATGTACCAATGAGCAGGATTTATGAAGTCTTAAAGCTCAGTTCTGCATTTGGCTGAGGGCTCACACACAGTATTGAAACTTGTATAATGGCAACAAATTATTTATTTCCTTCAGATTTCATTCCACCCATCTTTTTCTTTAGATGGTAGCTTACACTCAAGTACTGAACAGTGTCATATGTTTGTTCCAATGAAAATAGTAGAAACTCATAACTTCTAGTAGCTGGGTTTTT